AAGTATGTTGTTATTATTGGTTTTTTAAAAGTGACGAATATTTGGAACATTTGTTTTTAGCAATCACAAAACTAATGTAACAAACCCAATAACAAAGACCAACGCAATTCAAATTCAAATAACTGATAATCTATTCACTAACTCGTAATTGAAATTACAAAGGAATTTAAGAACTGAAAGAGGATTGAAGAACACGTGTAGAAGAAATGAATGAGAAGTAGAACTCAGAGAAAGGGATGAGAGAACTAAGACATTTTTTTTCAACAATTTGCATAAACCCTTCTTAGCCCAAGTACTAGTTGTGTGACATCGCGACGCTGGGCCGAGACTGATTCATAACAACTAAAATGGACCTCAAGAAACACTATCCCCAAGTAGTTTTTCATAGCTAAAAAATCTTTGAAGAGAGACCATAACAGTGTGAAATTTTTCTCTAAAATATGCAATTTCTTCATTGATGGAGCCAATATCACAAGTTCAAATTCCAGAAAATAAATGGTCTATAGCTTCTTTCATCATTTTCCTTTTCTTTAAAATGACAGTAAAAAGAAATACATTGTATAACACTACATTGATCATTCGTCTTATCGACAAATATGTTGTACAGAGATCAATTGAAAAATGGAACAAGCTCTGCAGTGTAACGCGGATATTACTTCACCTCTGAGCAATTATTCGGACCAACTGGTTCTCTCAAGCAGCTTGATATAGCCATAACAGCAGCCTCAATAGACGCGTCTTCACCCTGTTTCACACATCAGATTCATATAAGAGTACTCAAACTTCAAAATCTCTGAAATACAACTCGAGGGAAAAGGAAAAAAGTAAAAAGTTTTACCTTCTCTTTCCAATAAAACATGTTCCCGTATGTCCCTGCCAAACGGCTCCAGAAGCTACGTGGAATATCGAGATCCACTGTAGCTCCAACGTTGAAATTCAGTATGTTTCCTGAATGAACACAGTAAGCACAAGATGATAATTCAACAGCACAGATTTTATCTGGGAAAAAGAGAAGGATTTCAGGCATATTACTTACCAAATGTAGGATCAGCAACAAAAACTATAGTCCTGTCATCCACTTGCCAAAAATCTTTAATAGCTAAGCCTGTGAATATAGCATTGAAACAACACCATTATACTTTTAAAGAAGTTTGGTTAAGTACCGATAGACGAGAGATAAATTAGACACCAATAATAGTATATGTACCAGGCGTATCAGGATAGTTCTGAGCTAAAACTCGCAGCTTAAAACCAGTATCCTTTTCTATATCTGTGATCTCTTGTGCAAGTCTTTTCTCCTGTGAACAAATAATAACCATCATGAGCATTTTTGTTCCTTTCATATGAAATAACAGCTATGTCAGTTCAAGTATACATTAGTGCGCATAGGAAAAGATAAAAGGGCGATATCTTTTTAAACCGCGTAGCTAAAGTCTTTTAGCAGAGAAAAGAAATTAGAGAAAGCAAGGCAAGGAAATATGATGAGCATAAGAACAATAAAAAATGCCTCTCTTATCAAGGGACCATAAATCACACCTGACCATCCGAGAGGAAGCCAGCAACATCAATAACTGAAGTAAACTCCTTCGGTAGCAGTTCCGGCTTGTTCACCCCTACTAATCCCTCAGCAATACCAACTCCTACAATGGTAGGTTTATTTTTCACTCAGCATTATAATCCAAGAAAAGAACAAGTCAAGAAATATCAAAGCACACATTTTCTAAGAAATAGAACATGCATCCCCTACTGATTCAGTGTTATGAAATAACTAAAAATTATTTTAATTAAAAGGAATTATTAAGTTTTAACATTCCAATTGTTAAGATAGTACTTACTTTATAGTTATGAAGTACACGATACCAGAATGAGTTCAAATGCTGTGTCATTCAACATTGTAAATAAAGTGATTATATCTTCACTAATACTATTGAATGTCATTTCAGAAGGTCAACAAGATGTTCCGTTTTGTTGCTAAACTAGAGGATTATTTCCGAAATTCTATCAGAAGCATGTATTTGTCCAATACTCCTCTGGCACGTCGCCATGAAAATTTGTCATCATGTATGGCTTATTCAAAGAGATAACCAAGGCTGGAAAGAGGAGCTCAATATGACAATTTAAGGTCTCAAGTCAGAGTTTTTGGAAAATGGTTTTGTTGGCCAGCAGTTTGCTTTCCCTGTATACATTTGAAAAGTAATATGGTATTGTGTCTTACAGAAGAAAGCAAGTTGTGGAAATCAGAAATTACTTATCGAATGTTAGACGCGGATAATAGAATTGCTTTGACAAGGAAAATTGTGAACATAATCTAGTAGTTTAGACCAGCAGGTTTCTGGCTAGAGAGTTATACAGCTCGAGACAAGGCGGATGAAGCCTTGTGGTATGGGTTCATCTGAACACAGTCAAACTGAGAAGCATAAATTTCTGTTTGGTTCGAGAAATTGATAATGATTATAAGTTGCATTGGCTGCTCACACTTATGGACAACTGAAGCGCTTATACTGCGGCGTCCGGCCGGACTTTGCCTTTTCCTTTTTTAGGAATTACTCATATCCAAAGCAGCTTTTCTCAAGCACCCCACCCCATACAACTAGTTGGACTTTCTGGCCGGTAGACTTTATAGCGGACCTTCCTTGCTGACAGCTAGGGATTTGACATATATAATTGTGCTTGCCTTCCCTTAGGAACTCTACACCCCTATTGGAGCCCATCTTGAGCACACCTAAACTAATTCCACACATACTTTTACCACCAAGGCTTGAACAAATAGGACGGAATCACTTAGTACTTTTGCCTCCATAAGGAATCGAAATTGAAACCAACCCACTTCATTGATTGCTAAACATAGCACAAATAAAGTGTGGTCTTTGATGAGAAAATGCACAAATGGAGTTGAAAATCGAAGGCGCTGAACTATGAGCTAATTTTTACTGCATATCAAACTTATCTATGAGCTCCAGCTTACTCTGAACTCCTCAGAACTCCCTTTTGCAAAAAAATAAAATTCCAATCCGTCTAAAGCTTAAATACTACATAGGGACTGAGAAAAAGAAAAAACAAATTCCTCGCATTCAATTTACAGTTGTAACGATCTTTCGTATGCAAATCAAAGCCAATAAAGTCGAAATTGTAAATTTTAACAACAACCCATTTGCAACAACTATACAAACTACAAAAAGACAATTCATAGAAATACTAAATTTAATTGTTAAGTTACCTGTTAGTGAAAGAGCAAGAGCTAAAGAACCAGAAAGCAAGAAATTCAAAGTCTTTGATGAAAATTTGGATAATTTTGGAAGTGGGTTTTCATTCTTGACTGAAACTCTGGAATGGGAATGTGATGCTCTAATGGCAGAGTGACAAATTTTGCTGAATGTGAGAGATGAAGGAAGATGGAAAAGAGAAGCCATTTTCAGTTCTCTGTGTCTATAGAAATGGGCACGTATCCTCACTCTAGAATAATGTATTCTTAATTTATTTCATTTCAATCTAATTTTAAACATTAAAACTTATAAATATTAAAAATGTTTTATATCGAATATGATTCAACTTTATATTATCGAGAGCTGTCTATAGAAATAAAGGTACAGGTTATATTTTAAAAATATTTCGAAAACACTCTCGCTATCGGCGAAATTAATTTAACAATATTATTGCCACCAATAAAAGATTAGTAACAGATTATATGAGATATCGAAAAAAACTGGCCTCTTCGTTTCCAGGTATCACTCTCATCGCATTTGCAGCAATTACATATCTTCTCTCTTTTGCTCTCAAATTTGTTGCATTTAGGAATTTAATTTACTCCGCTGGCCCGAATCGATGTGTATACCGTGAAATTGAGGGATTTTCAGGTTCGTATTTTGTTTGTTGAATAAGTTTTTGATTTTTTTTTGTGTTTTAGGTTTTTTGTTAGTGGTACTTATGTTGTATAAGTAACCCTAAGATTGAGCTGAAAGTTAAGTTTTTTTTTTTAAATTAAGGGAGAATATTGAGTATTGTGGTGGTACAGATATGTGAAAATGTTTAGGTTTGAAGGTTTTCAATGGTGAAGTACATATGTGATCTTAGAGGTGAATCATTGTGGATTTGGATTCTTGTATTGTCATGGATATTGTTGAGTTTGTGAAATTAGCTCTAGAGATTACCTTTATGGCTGCCTTCATTTCCTGATCGGTTTACTTGCATACACACGTTTGCATAGAATGAGAGGGTTATCTGATCCGTAAGCTGCTGATAAAATTGAGTTAGCGAAGACAACAAAGGAAGGGAGAAAAAGATATAGGCTGCAGTTCCTATTGGAGCTAAACTTTATAATGAAATGGACAAAAACCATGTTTTTCTACTGCAATCGAGACAATGAAGGATGATCCTTCTGAAACTGGATATGACATGGAGAAAACACCTTTAATAAGAAGTATGCTGTATGTTTAGAGTGTTGATATGGCAAGAAAGTCTTGTGCGGTTCTTTGGATCTGAGAATTAAGAACAAGAGTTCTCAGAGAGAGCATCAGGGTTCAGGCGGGATGAAGAGAAAAATGACAAGAAGAGGAGAGCAGAGCTGATACTTAGGCAAGCTACGGAAAACCAGCAGGAGTTGACTCATTTGTAAATTTGTTCATGGAATGGCTAGTTTGATGGATTCTTTCATATTCGGTTAGGAAGATCACACTTAACTAGGCTAGATAGAAGTCAGTCAAATATAGTTGTCCTTTGAATGCCACAAGTCTATGATGAAGTCTGATGTAGCGCAAAGCATTTTTGGAGGTTAGTTGTTTAATTCTCCATTTTCTGATCTGTTCCCTTATCTTATCAAACAAATGTAAAGGGAGGAAAAGTATGAACAAAAATGGAAACTATCAAGGATTTCCAACGGAATCATGTATTTTTTTAAGGTGATTGATTGTGATTCTTTTTCTTTTTCATGCAAATTGGAAGTAAAACTGGGGACAAGAATAATTTGTGGACTAAGAATTGATGAAACAATAATTTGAGTACCAAAATTGCAACTTATAATATCTTTACTTCAAAAAAGTTGATGCTTCATTTTACTTATAGCTTAATTTTGGCTTTTTCATGTCAAATGATTAAACTTGTCATTTAAACATGCTGAAGTATGCAGTTTCGAATAGTATAACTGTAATCTGCCAGACTGCCATCCTCTTACCTACCACCCTCGTGATTATCACTGAATACATGTCTCCCCATGAAAATAGAGTCATTTTTTGCTTACGAGATGTGAGTGCAACATTATATGATGCTTATCCTATGATACTGATCCCTGTCATCTGCTCTTCATAAATGCCTTCCTTCGGCCTGTTCATTCACAGTTTTGATAACCTTGTAACTTGGATTCACGAGTCTACCGCTTGCTACTTCTGTTAAACCAATATAGGAGATTTTTTCCAGTGTCATTATGCCAATCTGATAGGTGCTTAACTTGTATTTAAATTTGACAAGATAATAGCAACTTGATGATCATCTGTGATCTTTTTGGGTTCTACTGTATTCATGAAACTGGAACAAAGTATAGAGGGCAATGAGTTAAACTCTTCCATTCGTTGATCTAAGGTGATGGTATAGTTTGTTTAGTAAGTGGTAAATATTTCCACAAATAAGATATTTCTTAGGACAATTAGCTAGAGCAACATGTGCTGACGAAACTGATTTGCAAAAGGAGATATGAAAAATACTTTTGAGGGAGGTCTGTTTGATATCCAAAAACTTCTTAGAAACAATCAGACAATTGGGAGATGTATGGGTGAACCAAACCAAAAGAGATCAGGTTGAGCGGATCTAAGCATTGCCTAGGTAAGCGTCTTTTAGTAAGAGGATAACTATGAACAGTATAGACCATCCCCATGGACAAGAGCTCCAATTGGTAGAAAATATTACAGCCACTTCTGGTTATCCAACTGGAAGAAGTAAGAATATTAATAAATATAGCGGTAATTTGATTCTTCATTATGCTTTTGTCAGTGCCACTAGTGTCATCAATTTAATTTGCAGAAGAAAACATACTTATGGCATTTCTTGCAAACCTTACAACCTTTGTCATCATTAAATTGTTGAAGTGGCCTTGTCCAGGCTATGTTTTTGGTGCTCTCAAACCTTGTGAAATTTTAATGTCTTGCCTCTTTTGTATTTAAAGTATTAACAGCAATGAATTCTGCAACGTGAATATATTTCTAATGATTTTATTCAACTGATTTCTAGCCCATTCTGTTTGCTCTTAGTTACTGTTGCTGGATATCTAGACTAGCTGGATCATTTGTGATAATCGGGGGTGCTTTTGATGGACTATGAACTCCATCCCATTTTTGCTACAAAAAGATATTTGTAATCACGTTAATTTTTTGCTATTGTTATTCAACATAGCGGTTGTACACTTGTATTATTTACTTCTTTATGGTTAAGAGATGATCTTTTTGTGCAAAACTTCTACCAGCCTTACCTGCCACTGTCTGCTTCTGAATAAATGAGTTATTGGATTTTCTACTGTTCTTTGGACATATCATCTTGCTAATAGATTTCGTTTGAAGGACTTTTCTTATGTTGTTCATAAAACTCGATTCAGCGTCGTTATTGACTGACTGCTTACTTTTATTGATTTCGTTTTTGACACCCTCTGCACTCTATCTCTTTCAGTGCCTTCTAGTTAATGTCACTGTTCTATTTCTATAGAAGTATAGTGACTGGTTTTAGTTGCCTACTTGAGGCAACAATCTACACAGCCTAGAATAGACTAAATTCACTTTATCACCACAACACATGAAGCACCAAGTTTATTACTCAAACCACAATTTAATGACCATTAAAATGCATTTGGTGTGAAGCCAGAAGGGTAGAAAACTGTCTTCCTTTTCTATGGTCTACTGCTAGCTATTTTAAATTTCCTATGAACTTTTGCTTTCAACACGTCTAATGGAAAATTCAGGGTCTTGAAGCCCCATTTCAATTTACAGCTGATATGGTCGAGGATTAAAGTTGCAAATAATAATTTAGGTTCATCCAAGTCTAAAATGGTTTTTGCATTTCGTTTATTTGAAACAATCATGCAACACAAACTTACATACATGCAATGTGCATTGTAGTTCTCAATTTTTTCACTTTTGGGTAGCTCAAACCCTTTTGTACTTGTTTTCACTAGTTTCATTTAGTTGCACACAGTTCTTAACTCCTATGTACTGCAGCATTGTATGGCAATCTCAGCGTAAAAGAAGTCTTTGGATCTCACTGGCTTCACATGGTATGACTATCACGCCTTGCTGGTAATATCCAAATTCTCTTTCTGCTTCTTCTAGTAACTTGATAAATGTAGGATGAGAAAGATAATCTAAAGCCAATGAGAATTTCCTTGGCTCTGCATTCACCCCTAGAGCGAGCACCGAAAAGTGCCCTTTCTTTGTTGAAGTTGTAACTTGAGCTTTCCACTTCTTCCAGTTGCTGATTTTGTGGAGAAACATCTTTTTAGAAAGCTTCATGATCTTCTTGACCTCGGCAAAATAGTCCCCACATATCACTTCTGTTTTTTGGTTTTTCTTGCTCATTCTTGCTAAAATATGTTGAGAAAAGTGCAAGTTTTTGTTTTTCTATTGTGAAAGTTTTAAGTGATATTTCCAAAAGAATTGGAATCTCCTATTTATAGTATCTGACTACCGTGTCCGCCTTTATTTTCTCATTTGACAAGCTATTTTTTGGGTTATCCAACTTGTCCTCCCCACAAAGGGACACAATGGAAATGTCACTGTTGGAGGGGGTCTTTGGGAACATGGATTGCCAGTAACCAATCCTATTTATCCAGTTTACATTTTCATTTTGACACTGTTCTCTTCCGTGGATTGTCGAACGAAAATCTAATTGTCTTGTACTTCCTCTGTCCTTTACTTCTATGTTTCCGCTTGTTCTCTTTAGTATAATTCAGAAACTCTTGAAAGCCAATTCGTACACGATTCTAAATTCTAATCCGATGCATAATTTGAATTCATGACATGCACTTAACTCCCTTACTATTGAACCAAAAACCCCATTCTCTAATTCATACCCCACCCCCATTGTATGGTACCATATAGTGTGTATTGGAAACAACCTCTCTATACATACACAATACTCTCCGCATAGATTTACACTGCATATATTGTTGTTATTATTGGTACCATACAGTGTGTATACACAAATGTGGTTAGGGTTGACACCATAGAAAGTTGGGAAGGAGAAAAGGACTGTTCACCATAGATGTATATTTATTGGGTAGTAAAGAATTTGAATGGTAAGAATACAAGAAACGAAGCATTTACAGGTTCAGGTACATAAATAATCAGCTTGGTACAATGTACTTTGGATAGATATTAATATTCATGCTAAGTTGCCATGATAGTAACGTTTTTGCTATCTTCCCAGCTGGCCCCTTGTCCCCAGCCTCTTATGCTTTCTTCAATTCACTCCACTACGTGGACTAATATGAACTACAGTTCAGTTCAACAGTTGTCTACCTCAGAATTCTTTTTTTCTTCACAAAATGCAATCAATTCTTTCGACCAACACAGCTATTGCACTGTTGTTAACTGTACTCTGGTTTCTTTCTATCACTATCTCAGCAGTTCTTCTTTCATATTCCCACGCGGCATCCAGAAAACTGGTCGAAAATGTTGCTCAAGTACATGTATCCAGCTCGACATGAGTTCAAGCTCTTGATTAAGACAATATACTATGAGACTTTGTCTTGTATTTTGTTGGTTAGATCATCCATAACTCGGGTAAATAAGTAGTGTTTCGAAGCTGATCCTTGGTGTAAATCCATTATTATGGTAATGACGATTCTTTCATACATCTCCAGTATATCATTTATAGGTAGAGGACAAAGGTTCTCTGTTGTGGTTAAAGAACATAAGATGCATTCCCATTTCATCTTTGTATTCTAATTAAGATGATGGGATGCTCCTAAAATGCCAACATGCACCGTAATATTTTCGAAGAGTCTGAGCAACACAGGCCTCTACAAATTCACGAATTGTTTCTTTTGTTTAAGCAATGACTCTTATCCATAAAGCTTTTTTACTTGATTTACATCTCGCACAAGAATATGCGCTGGATTGAGGAGTAACATTTTTTTCTCGAGTCCGAGAATGTGGTTTTGTTATTATTAATGAAGAGTGTTCTAGAATCATGAGATTTCAAATTCAAACACCAATGAAACAACAGATGGGGGCACTAAAATATGTCACGCAATAACGCTTCGTCCGATAATTTCATCACTTTTCGCTTTGAGGTTGCCTGTTCGAAACTTGCCACTCCTAGGTATATGCCGGTCACATTAAGTGTAATTTGTTTTAGATATAATGTATCTAAACGGGGTTTGTATGTATATTTGATACACTAGCTCTCTCGCTTGTTTCTCTGTCTCTCTTGCTCGCCTCTACCGAATATATCTAAGCTTTACAAATTGTATGAATTTTTATAACTAAAATCAATTTCATGTGTATATATATCTTGCTCGCCTCTCTAAGTATCTGTATTTCACAATATATCAAAGTGTTACTAATTGTATGTATCTATGTATCCAAAATCAATTTTGTCTGTGATATCGATTTTATCCTGCAAATATCAATTTTATCAGTGTATTTGATATCAAACATTTAGTATAGGCTATAGCCTTGGATAGTATATCCTTGTAATTAAGAATTAATTCAAAACGGGCACATATATATCGAATGTATCTCTGATCAGATACAATAATAGAAATGAAATGATGTATACACTGTAATTTTATAATATGTTATGAACAAAATAAAATTGAAGGTGGCTAATAAACTAGGGAAAATTATATATAATAGCAAACTAATAACCTAAATTAAATGGAATAGCTAGGGTTTGATTTAATTGTGCTCCATAGCAAACATTGGCTAAAATTTGCCAACGTCTCTCTCCCAAAAATCTTGCTCGCCTCTCTCGCTTTATACTCAGAAGTGTATAATTTTGTTTCTGTTTTGTATAAAGCGAAAGAAATTTGTATATACACATGCAAAAATGTATATCTTCGTATTATACACTTAATTATACAATTTACAAACATTT